GTCATACAATAAAAAAAAGAAATGTCAATAACAATAAATGGCATAACAATTATAATGATAAACGAAATATCAAGGAAAAGGGTTTAGAAAGAGAAAGACACAATGAAAAACAAATAGCAAAGAAAGTACAATTAAAAGGCAAGAAAAACAACAAAATAAAGAAATAGAAATTTAATTGAAATGTTGTATTGTTTTTCAATTAATTGGTTAAATAAGAAATTATATAAGAAATTAAGAAATGAACAAATTGAAAGTATAATAAAAGCAATAAACATCAATGTCAATAATGAAAATGAATATATTAAATATATTAAAATGTCACATAAAATAAAAGAAAACATTAAACAATACATTCAAATGAAAGTAAATGATATAATAGAAAGAAAAGTAAAGTGTAATTCAATAATAAAATATTCATCATAAAATAAGAAATTAAAAAAATGAGAAATTCTTTAATAAAAATTAGAAAATTAAATATTAATACATTTATATTTCATTCTTCGTGGCTTAAATGAGACTAATCTTATAACTTCACTTTTTAAAAGATGAGTAATTTATTTGTTTTATTTATTTGTAGATTTTCTTCTTGTTTTGTGAATAAATCATTCTTCTTTTGTTTTATTTCTTTTATTATTCTTTTTTCAAAATTCATTCAATTTAATTCGTCTTTTTATCTTTTTCTTTAGTTTTTACTTCAATTTTAATTAACTTCTTCTTTATTTTCTTATTTAATGTTGATTGAATATTTCATTACCACTTATATTATTATAACTATTTTCTTTTATTATTAATATCATCAAATATTCCTTTTAGTTTGATATTATTCATTATAACACTTCTAATTTCATCTTAATAAATACATTTTCTTCTCTTCCAACAAATAATATTCAACCATAATACTTCATTATTATTCATTCATCAACGTATGATTAATTCAATTTCCATTCAAATGTACCATCATAATCAGATAATAACTTGGAGAATCGAAGTTTGAATTTGTTTTAGTGTTTTGTATGTGGTATTTCAGACATACCATATTAACGTTTATAGTAATTTTTAAATAAAATTATTCAAAAAGAGTTATTCCACTATAAATAGAATTGTGTCTGTGACGAATAATATGAACTAAAAAATAAAGAATTGAACGATTAAATGAAAGTCACTAAATCAAGAAATTATAAAAGAAGAGAAATGAAACAACTAGATATGGTTTATTTGATGAAAGTAGCACTTCATGTTAAAGATATGAATGACATTCAAAACATTGAAATGATTAACAAGAAATGTGGAGCTGCAATTCACTCATTGAAAGTTAATCAATGTTTACATCGGAAAAAGATGTTAATCAATTTTGTAGAATATTTAATCCACCAACATGTAATTGTAATTTACTTCCAGTTGATGAGTCAATATTAATGAAAGTTGAGAATATCAGAAATTATATTTTTGATAGATTTGTATTTTCAACAACAGGAAATGATACAAACAAAATATTTGGTCAACAACAAACAAGTATTACAAAAGAAGACAGAGAAAGAATGTCTAAAATTATTCAAAAAGTAGAGTCTTTGATTTATTTTTCTTATGCATCAGATGAAATAATAGAAATTATCATTCAAAATATGAAGAAAGGAAATAAAATAAGAAGTAATGAAATGTTTTCAGAGGTATTTAATGAAACATTTGATAAAATGAAAATAGAAGAATCACTTTATCCAAGTTAAATGATAACTTATGTGTCAAATAATGTTAATGGAATTAAAGCTCGAGAGAATAAAAATATCATTCTCATTTATGAAAGAGAAAGTCCTATTAAACAAGAAAAAGAAATAGATATACCAAAAGGAATTACAATTTATTCTTCAAGTATAGTTTTGTCTGAACAAAACAATGAAAGAAATATTAAATTTTTTAAATCACCAAGTAGTTCATTATTTTCAAATACAAAAATAACATCATTTAATCCAACTAGTGGTAATGATGGATGTGGTATTAGAGTTAATATTGAAGATATGAATAAAGAAGAAAATAGAAAGTATACAAGATTCTTAATGACTTTTATGTAGA